GTGTTTTTGCTGTGAAGTTTCAAGTGTAAAAAGCTGGTCTCACGGGTCTCACGAAAACAGTCTGGTCTCACGTGAACCCAACCCTATATATATATATGTATATATATATATATGTATATATATATATGTATATATATATATGTATATATATGTATGTATGTATATATATGTATGTATATATATATATATATGTATATGTATGTATGTATATATATATGTATGTATATATATATATGTTACAACTATATGAAACCTATCTTCTCATCGCGAGCACTACACGAGGTCCTGCTGCAACTGCAACTGCAACTGGCGCCCGTCATAGCAACCTAGGGATCCTGACAGGTCCTGAATCCGTAAATCCAGCCCTTGCGCTGACATCCGATACTACGCCCCACAACTCTGGGTCATCGGGAGAAATGGTGCTCAGATCTGACCCGCTGTATTTCTCCTCTTTAAGCTGCGGAAACGTCGAAATACGGTTTAAAACCCTAAGATATGTTTTTCAAAAAATTTCCAACATATCGGTCATAAAATGAATATTTCCAAATTAAATGAGGCTTAATATTTGCTCAACAAGTGAAAGCACAACTATCTAAAACCTAAGATCAAATGTAACTTAGAACGTATGATGTATATGATCTGATAGCATTTTCAACATAAATAAGATTAAATATAACTTAAAATCCACATGCTAAAAGCTTTGATAAACTTTAAACACTTTAAGGGATCGTTTACTAAACACTTACCCGATAAGTGTTTACCGGTAAAATTTAACACTATTATTTACTTACCGGACAAGATTTTAATCCATCAAAACGACATTGTATGCAACAATTCACCCGGTAAGCGCTTACCATAGTAAGCGCTTACCATGGTAAGAGTCGTCGCCCTCACTTACCGGGTAAGACTCATGGTCTTTATCTCGCTCTTACCGGGTAAGATTCTTAGTCCTTACCATATTTATCCGGTAAGGTAATGTCACTTGGTAAATACTTACCCGGACAAGTGTTCGGTAAACGGCCCTTAATGTAACAATGACTTAAGCCAACCCATTCACTTTTTTTGGATCCAATAGATGGTTCCGAGCAATAATTATCTTGGAATAATGGGTATTGCTTAGAAATTATTTACTTTCTTTACGGGTCTATCTTCTTTCTCCTTTTAATCATTTTAGAAAGATTTAAGAACAAAAAAAGGAGAGATGTTTGAGTTTGGCTCTAAAGGTCAAAAGTACTTGGAGGTCCGAGGTTCAAATCCAAGGAGGAATAAAAATCTACTTGTAGCCACCGAGGTTCAAATGCGGTGACTCCGGGCTATCTGCAAARYAGATGGTCGCCCTRRGATTARTCAGTTCGYATAKCSRGTTGGATATCCAGGTTRATAAAAAAARRGGAGAGATACAAGCATTAGAAACATTTCCATGCATGTGCACTCAATAATATTTAGATGAGGAAGATAGTACCACACCCAATGTTTACTAATTTTACAGCGAGATTCTTCTGGTCCTAGAAAAAAGTGATGGTCCTCGTGGCTACATGCATTAAACCTTATGGATGGGTCTCGTTAGAAATTCTGAAAAWGTGGTGAAATTGGAAGTTTGAARTAYGTGAATAAAATTTACAACSCAAAATAATTTATCGAAATCACTAACTATAGACTRCAAATCATACCAAAAATCGACCAAAATGGAACCAATCGTACCAAAATCGAACAAAATGGGACCAATCCTACCAAATTCTAGCATTTATCCCTAAAACACAAATCGCACAAAATTGGAACCAAAATGTATGTATGCGTGAACGGATCTGGTGGTGTGTGTGCGAC